AAGAGCGCGAACGAGCGGGAGCCACGAAAGGCAGATAATGCGGGGCCACAGCAGGCAACGATGTGGCCACCGAGGGTAGCAACTGGGCCACGTAGGATGGTGAGGGGGCCACAAAGGGCGACACCGGGGCCACGAAGGGTACGCACACGGGGCCAGAACGGGCTCGACTCCTGGGTGCCTGGGTGTCGGGAGCGCGGCGCTTGAGCAAATTGCAAGAAACTCCAACGCAAAGGCGATATTCTTCAGTAGATTGCAAGCAAATCTGCAGCGAGAGCGCGACTCCAGAGCGCCGGGAGAAGGATTCCTGAATAAATTGTAAGGAAGTCCCAAGCGAGAGCGCGATTCCTGAATAAAATGCGAGGACGTCTCGGGCGGGAGCGGGGGTCCTGGCTAAATTGCGAAGAAGTCTCAGGCGGGAGCCGTTGTTGTAACCCGGGGGCCAGGGGCACAGTTTGAGCATAAAGACTTTCCCTGACCAAAAACAGGGTGCGAGCGTGGAGGGCCACACTTTGATTGAGAAAAATACGATGCACCTGTTGGAGGGATCAAAAAAAAACTATTCTTCAGAAGTGAAGGTTCCACAACAACAACAACAACAACAACAACAATCATTTTACCCGAACGCGTGGTGTTCTCCCCAGTGCCAGGGTTTTCATACGACACCAGGCAATACCCCCACTTCGTGGGGGGGCATTACAAGCTCTACCAAATATCCAAACGACTCTTCGCGACCACCCAAACCCAGCTTCCCGCCCTATGACGTTGGGACACTTCACTTCGTGGCGTGCGGACGACCGTGGCTACTACACTGGCGTGGGGTACACACCCACAGAACCCAATGGTTTTTGGAGATTTCGGCGTGCGCGCGCGAAGAAAAAACGAATGTGTCCCGCATGGTATTATTTGACAGGGATGATGGCCCTGGCAGGTGCGCAACCGTTGTCGCAGAAGTTCGAAAAAGTTGCTCGCAAAAGCCCGTTTGACAGAAATGTTTAAAAAGTGTTGGGTTTCCTACGAATCCGCAAGAGCGCGCGGGATGAGATTTTGACATTTTTTTGTTGAAAAACCATTGGTTTTTTGATGTTTTTATGTTAAAATCGCTCCGAACACTAAGCTTTTGGAAGGATTTCGTCTTGCGCGCGCGAATGTCCACTTTACCTTATTTTTTGCAAGGGATTCTTGAAATTTGATTATATTAGAACAAGAAATGTCATTTTATAGTGTTTTTTGCAAGGGAAAGCGGATTACAACAAAACAACCGGATCTTGATCACCTCGAATTACCTGAGGCTTCCTCACGAAAATGATGAAAACGTGGCTGCGGCCTAGGCGCGGCGGGGGGGGCGCGCACCAGGGGGCCCAACAATAATTATTCTTTAGAATTAATAATGTTCAAACAACGACCAACAACAACAACAACAACAACAACAACAACAACAACAACAACAATTACTAGCACGTGGGGACACTCCGTTCTCACCAGTGCCAGGGTTTTCATACGACGCCCGCCAATACCCCCACTTTGTGGGAACAACAACAACAACACCAACAACCACAACCACAACAACATCAACAACAATATATCAATACTGTTCGCTTCAATCTGCTCACGTGCCAATCCATACGTATATCCCAAACCTCGGTACCCGCCCTCGTCGTCTTCAATCGTTCCCCCTTGGGGGGCGTATTTTCCTTACCTGCCACGCGTCTTTATTAGTGCAGCCCCAGAAACTGGGGAAGAGAGGACGGGTGGAAGGGGGAAGGAGAAGAATAAAGCAAGAGAGAAATTAGCAGGAGGAGGACAGAGAAGAAAACGCGTAGTAGAACCAGACGGGCAGATCGGGTGGACAGACCCATAGCGGGCAGGTCGGGAAGGAGGGCCCAGGCGACCAGGTCGAGCAGGCGAAATGCTGGAGCGTGGGTCCTGCATTCCTGAACGCCGAGGGTGCATCGTCTGAATACATTGGAGGAAGTCCCACGCGAGAGCGCGATTCGTACATAAGAGAGAATACGTTCACGGACGCTTGTAGTGGCATAGTCAGGGGCTGCCTGACCTCTGAGCCCTAGGAGGCGCATCGGACCCCCTAGGGAAATGGTAAATTGCTCAGGGCGGACTCTATTGTCACCCTCAGAGCGCACTGATTACCTGGAGCGCGAAACTACACAGGGCAGGCCAGGTGGGACGTATTGTCCCCTACCGGCACAATGATGCTACATAGGAAGTGTAGTTCACAAGAGTAAACTTGTGCAACCATTTGCTCCTTTTGTGAAATGTTCACAAGGTCTGTTGGAGCCGCCGCGGCCTATGCTTCACAAGAGAGCGCCTTGTGAAATGTTGCCCAGCCACGCCGCAAAGAGAAAGGAGACAAAGATGGTCCCCGCCTCAAGACAAAATGTCAACGAGGACTATACAAAGGGTCAGCTGCAAAGACGAAAAAGGTGATCCAAAGGGTAAGCTGTAAAGTTCGAAAGGCATGCAAGTCAGTAGGCGAGCGTGTTGACGTCGATTTGCGCATCACGAATTCGTTGCCGATGACGCCGCCGGAGAACATAACACTACAGAGCAGACCTGAGCAGCGCAAGCCTGGGACACGATCCACAGACCAGGGTTTCTCAGTGGGTCTCTCACCCCCGCACTGAGATGGTCTACGCCCTCAGTGGGTCTCTCACCCCCGCACTGAGATGGTCACGCCCGGGGAACATTCGGCGGCTCGTTTCGAACCATGGGGTGCCCCCCCCCCATTACTCGGCGCCGTCGATCAAAACCAAGGGGGGCTCCCCTCCCCCCTAACCCCCCTCCCTCAGGAACCTCTCCACCCCCCCCTCCCAAGAGGGGGGGGATACAAAACCCCTTTCCCTCGGCGCCGGCGCCGGCGCCCGCGCTGGCGGCCGCCAGCAGCGCGGACGGCGGGGACGCAGCGACGATGACCAGAGGGCCCAGGGGCCCAGGGGAAGGGGAGGGGGTCCAAACCCTCCTCCCCCCGCGCCGGTGCCGGCGCCGGCGCTGGCGGCGGCCAGCAGCGCCGACGGCGGGGACGTAGCGACGATCACCAGAGAAAACCCAGAGACCGCAGAGGGAACTCGCAAATCGCCATATCGAGCCCTCGCCCCCCAGAAGCCGCCGAAAGGCCCTGAGGAAAATCCACGAGGCTTCACACATGCTCCTCGGACGCCCCCACGACCCTTCTGACGAGACCTCCAGAGGTATCATCCATTAGAACTCGGACCCCAGGCCAAAACACGGTGGCGGGAAAAGCTGAAGGCCACCACACCACCACCGCCACCGCCACCACCACCACCACCACAACCACCACAACCCACCACCACCACAACCCACCACCATCAACAAGATCACAACCAAAAACGCCACCACCACAACCCACCACAACCCACCACGACCCACCACACCACAACCACCAGCACAAATCCACCACACCATTCCCGCCACCATCACCACCACCGCCACAACCACAACCACCACCACAACCCACCACCACAACCCACCACCACTACCACCACCAAAAACCACCACCACAAACCACCACACCACCACCACCATCACAAACCACCACAACAGCACCACCAAACCACCACCACCACCACCACCGCCTCTACCAGCGGCAGCACCACCACCACCACCAACACCACAGCCCACCACCACCACCACCACAAACCACCACCAACCACCACCACCACCACCGCCACCACGACTACCACCACAACCACCACCTCAACCCACCCCCACCACCAACCCACCTCACAACCACCACCACTACCGCAACCACCACCACCACCACCACAACGCCCACCACCGCAACTCACCACCACAACAACCACAACAACCCACCACCACTACCACCATCACCACATTCTACCACACCACCACCAACACCGCCACAACCACCACCGCCACAACCACCACCACTACCAGCAGCACAACCCACCACCAACACCACAAACCGCCACACCACCACCACCACCACCACCACCACCACCACCGCAACAACCACCAACACCAGCACCACCTCCACAAACCACCGCCACCACCACCACCACCCACCACCACAACCATCGCAACTACAACGAACCACCACAACCACAACCCACCACCACCACCACAAACCACCGCACCACCACCCACCACCACCACCGCCGACCACCACCACAACCACCACCACTACAACAACAAACCACCACCACCACCACAACCACCACCACCGCCACCACCACCACCTCCACCACAAGCCCACCACCACCACCACCACAACCACTATCACCACCACAACGACCACGACAAACCACCACCCCACCACCGCCACCACCGCCACCGCCTTAGCCCACCACCACCATCACCACGACCACCACCACCAGAAACCACTGCACCACCACCACGACCACCACCACCACAACCTGCCACCACAACCACCACAAAAACCACATCCCACCACCACCACCACCACAACCACCACCACAACCACGACCACCACCACAACCACCACGACAAGCACTGTCAGCTATAGGACGCGGCGTTCCTTATGTGCTGCTAAAGCCGATAACCAATGGCTGACAGGCGCACCTGCGCTGGGAAGCAAGTGGCGATAGAAAAGCGGGGCGTGGGAAACAGCAGAGACAGATAGGGCCCCCATCGCTTCCGAAATTCACACTGATTTTACTTTCTGTTCCCAAAAGCAGGGGCCTGAAACAACCTAGCCCACTGAGCAGCAAAACGCACGATCGGACCCAGGCTGGTCCTCTTAGCAGCCCGCAGCTGGCCACTTGATATGAGTTCACATAAACCAACAGCAGTCTCGAATATGTAGGGGCCGAAACGGCCGTAATATGAAAACTAAGCATGCAAATATATGAGTATAAGCATCTCGGCACCAATCGCACGCAAAGGCTCGAAGGATTCACTCTCACGGCTCCTCCTCGGGAGCAAGCATATCCCTTGGGAGATGTAGAAATCCGGCCACGAGCCGGTGAGACTGGCCTGGGGTCAACTGCATCTCCGAGCTGCATCGCCTCGCGCAGCCATGCAAGGTCCACGAAGAGCCTCTTCTCCTGCAGCAGCTTGCCGCTGTCCTTTGTGCATGGCGCCATGCAGCGACTTGAAGTCATTGACACATGTAATCGGCAGCACCGGAATACTCGCCAGCATCTCCCTGTTGGCGATGTCCAGGTCTACGCACATCATCTCCACAATCGTCGCCCTGACGAGCTCCGCAGCGTCAAACGCCTCGGTGCAGCTCTGCGCCTCCGCTGCGAAGGTACTCCGAGCCACGCGCGGCAGGGCGTGGCTCCAGTCCACCAGGATAGCTTTGCCCGGCTCTCCTTCCGCCACCTGGCGCTCGCACATGTAAACAAGATAGCCCGCCTGCGAATGGACCTTCTCGCCCTGCGCCATCTTCTGAATGGCCTCCTCCTCGGACAACGCATTGCCCCAAGCGGCATCATGGTAAACAATAACACACCCTGCTGAACTGTTGTCCAAACGTGGCATGTGAAACTTCTCGCGGGCCGTCTCCTGGACAACGTTGATAGCTGCGTTAAGGCCCAGGGCGTTCTGGACCGCAGGCTTGTTCCGGGTCCGCTGCGCCATGGACACAGCACATGACAAGTCTGGCCTCTTTTCACGAGCTGGCCACCCAAGACTCCCGCTGGCACTCCGGCTGTCTGCAATCTCCGCACTGTTGCACTCCAAGTCAGGCTTCGACTTCCGGGACTTCTCCAGCTCCACAGGCTCGAATCTGCCCTCAACAAAGGCAGACTGGTCCAGTGCGAAGCCGCCGTTCGGATCCCTCTCCATGTTCTTTCCACAGAACACGACTGGAACACGACGCCACTCGCAAACATTGAACAACCCACGCACTCCTCGGCGCAGAGCTTGCGACTCGGTAGCTACCAACAAATCGTCAGCATGTACACAAACTAATGAGCACAACATGCCATCCTTGTTGAGTCCGCGGAACACAGTTGGGTCCAGCCTTGACTGCATCACGTGGATGGTCTGCCCGTTCTCGTCCTCCAGATTAGCAGATATGAGACCTCGGCGTAGCTTCCGCCACCACGAACGTGGCGCGCCAGCAAGTCCGAAGATGCCTTTCTTGACTCTCAACAAGCACCTGGGGTCCATGTCGGGCTGGCCCTCCTTAGGCTGGGCCACGTAGAGTTCCTCCGCGCGGCCGCGCCCCCCCCCCCCCCCCCCCCTGCATGAAGGCGCTCTCGACATCTCCAGCCACAATCTCAAAGTCGCAGGCAGCCGCCACACCCAGGAAGCTGAGAACTGAATGTCTCGAAAACCGCAGGTGCGTCCGCCCTGAGGCACAACGTGAGGTCTTGGTCGTTGTGTCCTCCACAAAGTTGTCTAGCCTTCGCCTTGACCAGCGCATACTTCACCCCGGCATTCTTGTTGCGGTAGAAGTAACGCGACGTAAGTATACGAGTCGGGCGCACTCGCACCCTGACCTTCAAGCTCTCCTCGACGCTCAGTGGTTCGACTACATCATAGCTCTCCCACTGATTCCACTGGAACGCGGCCGCCTCCCAAAACAATGGCTAATTCCACTCCGGGGTGGCATTCCATGGCATCTCCTTCTCCATGGCCCTCTTCTCGTGTCGGTTGGTGCCCCAACTCCGCTTCGCGATGAGGCCGAAACTGAACTTGCCCAGTTGAGCAGGCTCTCCGGGATGATCTCCAGGCCCCACTCGGTGCACTTGCGGGGCCCGCGTCTGGCGAGCCGCCCGCCTCTTCGCGAACTCCGCTTTGTTATATGGGGACGCCCTGCCCAGGTAGCGCAGGAGGTACTGCGGCAGAAGCTGCAGACCCCGATGGCGACAGTCTCGAAGATGAAACAGCTTCGGCTCGCGCAGAGGAAGGCCCGCTGGCGCCTCCGCCTCGTGCCCCTTCCGAGCTGTCTCTCCGGGTAGATCGCCCCGATCAGCTGCGCGCTTCTCCTTCAGTTCGCCCCCCCGCAAGAGCTCATGTAGAGCATATCCCAGATATTGTTCTGGACGTCGCTCAAGAGGCTGAGCCCCTTCTTCACCATCACGTGGTCCTCGACCTCGCTGATCTTCATGCTTAGGCTGATCGTCCTGCTCAACCTCTCTCACGAGCTTGTTCAACTCCTCGATATCTGGGTCATCACCCTGTCCTGGCCACCAGATCTCCCCATCACCAGCCGGTCGTAGTTGTTCATGCGATACCTGTAATGCGCCGGCTCCATGAGACCACCGGAAATTGGAAGCCCCAGCCGACCCAATAACCACAGCAGGTCCTCGCCATTCGTGGAGCTTGGCCCCTTCGCGCTGCCTCCAGTAGAACACCAAGTCGCCGTTCTCGTATTTAACCCTGGTGACCCGAAGCCTGCGCAGCAACGCCCTCCTGAGCGCTCGGCTGTTCTGCATATCCACGAATGCGGTCCTCGCTGCTTTCCCGATTGCCATGCGTCTCGCCAATTCAGTAGACACATGGCGCATACTCTGCTCCGCGATCTGGCCTGGCTGGTCGATCAAGTCGGCGGCTAGTTTGGGTGAGCAGCCATAGACCCACTGCGAAAATGGAAAACCACAAATCCTACGCATGCCATTCTTAGCCTGGCAGGTCTCCCAAATGGCCACCTCCAGCTCGCGGCGATCGGAGATCGCCTTTAGCTCGACGACGCGGTTGATCGTCAGCTTGAACCAGCCTCATGTCGTTATGTGCGCCCGTTCTGCCACTGGGCCTGCCCCGCGACTGCCTTCACGCGTATCCGCATGAAATCCATGGCCCCCTGGAATTCCTTGCAGAACATGCCGCCGGGGTCAAGCCTGACTGCCGATTGTGGTCCCGCTGTCCACAACTCCCTGAAGACCTTGGCGAATGTCTGCGGCTTGCGGTTCTTGAAGCAACGCGCCACGTGGTAGGTAGTGGGCGCCTCGACAGGAACAGGTAAGGCTTCCCTTTGACCGTCATCAAGTATATGCCGCCCAGGCCTAGCTCGTCGTTGAAGCCTCCCCCTGGCGACAATCGCGAGACCCGATGCGATCCCAAGGCCGGCTTGGCACGTCGGCACGTAGGGCACTTGAGGTGCCCAGCCCCCTTCACGAGCGCATCCTCGGCCCCCATGAGGCGCAGGTTGCGGGCCAGGCCGTCGTTAGACGGGCGCCCTAGGCTCTGGCGCAGGCGCCTAAGCTTTGCGCGAACCTCCAGAGGCAGCGCGCCCGCCTTCTCGCCGAAGGTGATGGCCCTAGCGCCCGTGGGCTCGGGCGCGTCGCTGCCATCGAGCTCTACCCCCGCTGGAAGTGCAAGGTCGTCCTGGTTCGCGATCTCCTCGGAGGCGTCGACCAGCCGATTCGTGAACGTCTTGGTGTAGACCTGGCTCCTGGATATCCCGTTCATCATGCCCTCGAGCTCGACGTGGTCGTGGATCCCGTTGCAGACGCAAGCGCCATGCTTCTCAAAAGCTGCGCGCGTCGCCAGGACCCGCGCGGGCCCGCGGACTGGCGCGCCCGCGCGCGGGCACATCAGATCGCGCGCGCACGTGTCAGTCTTCAACTCCACTACGCCCTGTAGTGCTCGAAGTCTTCGCCATGCAAGCTCGTTCCATGACTCGCCCATCCAAGGGTGCTCGATAACTGCCATTCTTCCCGCGGTATGCTGCATCTCGAAGATCTTCTCGACCAACCTCAGAGTTGGTAACTCACGAATGCGCGCCTTCCTCAACGCCTGCCGGCCCCCCTTGAAGACTAAGCTCGGAGATGGCTCCAGACGGTGCAAGGCGTCTCCAGGATGATACACTTCGGTTCGACGCGCTCCAGGTACTCCATAAGCTCCTTCTCGGTGCCATTATTCTTAAGGTCGCCGCCGTAGGACCCCAAGGCTGACCCACTCGGTAACCTCGCGCTGCTGCATCGCGAGAAGCACCCACGTGTCCGCCCCAGATCCAAGAAATCAACCTTCTGGGACCTGCCGACGTTGATGAAGGCACGCTTGTCCTCTGGCCCCCCGCTGTCCTCGCAGTCGAAGTGGCGTCGCCGATGCTGGCCGCCACGCACGTGGCTGGAAGCGCCCACGAAGCCAGAGCTCCGCGTAATCCATGTAGAACTCGCTTCCGAATTCTTGTCCGCAAGTGTCGCTTCACCTCACCAGCGCGAAACCCTGGTCCAGATGTTGCATCAGCTCCTCGCCCTGGTCGGCCCCCCCCATCTCCCCGCTCGAAGGCGACTCCGAGATCCTCTCGAGATCCGAATATGGGTCCCAATCCGGCCCCGACGGGGGTTTCTTCGTCGCTGCTCGAGTCTTCGCTGGCCCCCGATGGCCTGAGGTCGACTCGGCGATGTCAAGGTTTGCGCTGGAAGCAGATGTACTCGGCGACCCCCTCTTGAGCATCCTGGCCTGCGTGGCCCGATGCATCGGCCTGGTAGTCGGTGGGGCCATTGCTGTTGGCCCCTGTGGCATCGCCTTCCCCTCGGCGCTGAAATACGCAAAAGAACTCACGGAGACGGCCCCGACGGCGGCTGGTCGGCCAGGGCTTCCCGAGCCTTGATTCGCAGCCTTAGACCGTCCACTGTTCCCACGGTAGCGCCGCCCGCGACCTTGCAGAACTCGACCAGTAGCGGTTCGCTCAGCTTGCTGTACCTTGCCACCAACTGAGACCGCTCGGCCCCCCTCTTGGACTTTGTCCCCCCTGGAATTCCTGCTGCCCGAACCGCCTCTCGAAGTGCCGCGTTCGTCTCGCTGCCCGAGGTCTCGACGCCCACCGACAAGAGCAGCTCGATCAGCCCCTTCTTGCCCATGTTAGCGAGACACTTCTTCTTCGGCAGCTGCGCCGCCATCCTCGAGATGATACACTTGGTAGCCCCGACTCACCATCACTCGGGGATGGACAGACCCCCCTTTAGTAAAACGTGGTTTAGTGAAAACGACCTGAGGCCCAAACCTGGCGGGCGCAAGCCTGGAAAATAACGGCCCCGGCGCCCTCTCGAGAACCGAAAACGGACAAGTCACTAATCGACGTGTCCCTGTTGGGGGTTCTGTCCACCCCCGAATCACTCCCCTCGTCGGCGTCGCGAAGGCTCTGGCAGCACTCATCAGGTCGAACGGCCACCATGCCAGACGCAGGCCCGGCCTCTTCTGCACAAGACACGCAGGCATCTGCGGCAACCACCGGGTCGTGATATGAAAGTGGAAATCGGAAGATTCCGGGGGAAACTCGTGAACCGTTGGCTACTGGCCTGTCAGTGTTTCTTACGTTCGTGCCCCCTTGGCGTCTCTTCGGGCATGCCGGGCCCGTGGGCTCTCAAGTCTTAAAATTCCCAAGGCGATGTTGGCCTCCAAAATATTTCCCCAAACTTCGGTCTTCACGCGGCTTGCCGCAGGGTCCTTCAAGACGAGGTTGACCTACATCATGTTTATATCCGAGTCCGTTGGGACGAAATTCACTTACATGTTATCTTCGGGTCCATTGGGGCGAAATTGATTTACATGTGGTTTACCTCCCGGTCCATTTGGGCGAAATTGATTTACGTGAGGTTTATCTTCGGCCCGCACTCGTGCTCCGAGCCCGTCGCGATCCCCACCCCCAGGATGTTCCTCGGCTGGCCCCTGGGCCCTCTCGTCCAGAGCCTCGCACTCGCGCTCAATGTCGTAGGCGATCGGACTCGGCGCCGTGAGCATCTGGATCGTGGAGCCCTGCTGAGGCCCCTCGAAGTGGAATTGGATCCCTGGTGCTTTTTCGCCCAACACTGCGTTCGGCGGCACCGTCCATACACCCTGCGGAAACTGAAACAGGTTGAGCAGCGGATGGTGCGAGTCAGCTTCCGTGACCTGGACCGGCGCCATTCCCATCTCTTTTGGAAAGGAAAAGGCATTGGCGCGAGGATCGTCGACAATGCCGATCCATGTCGCCACAAGTCTCGAAAACAGAAGTGGCAAGTCTCCCGGCGCAACACTGTCGCGCAATATTCCGCATAAGCGATGTCCGATACACATTGGAACCAAAGCCGCAAACATGCCCCAGACCGGGCCACCCGCTCCACAACGGATTCGCTCCTTTCCCGAAACCAACTGGCATCGTAAACCTCAGCGCAGCAACGTAAAACAGCAGCATACATCTTCGACATACTGTAGCCCATCACGCATCTAGCACAGCCACTGTCGTAAATTGCGAAACCAATTCTCCGGCGCATCTCCTCAAAAGAAACGAACACAAATACAGGAAACATATAGAATCCGCTGCTGCTGTTGGGCTCGGTAGTGTTTCTCGGTGCTGCTCGCGCCGAACGCTGCGTACCGTCTCTCCCCGTCGCAGTGGCCATAACTGCGCGCGGCTCCGCCTCGACCGCCGAACTGTCATGCATGGCAAGCATCGGACTGCAAGCACGCTGCGAACTGTTTCCACGAGACTTCGGGCATTCAGGATATCCTTTCCAGTGTCATTTCTGGTCGCATGCCTTGCAGACAGAGTTAGTTCCTTTTGAGTTCGTCAATCTCCATATGTCTGGCAGGGTCTCGTCGACGTTGTGGATGCGGTTTCGGCGGCGGCGGGTAGCCATTCTGATTTCTGATATCTTTCATCTTGAACTTGGCATTAGTGAACTTGGCGTTGGTGAGTTGCTCCTTGCTCTCTTTCCAGCCCGCAACGTAAGCCTCGGCCATGGTTTCCGCCACAGCTCCATCCCCAGCGTCGTCCTCAGCCTCGTCGCCCTCGAAGACCGCGAGGCCTGGGAGGTCGGTGGGGTGTCGGTGGGGTCTCCGCCGTCTGCCAAGAACGACTCCGCTGCCTGCCTGATACTCGTCATCATCCAGCTCATGCTGATAGCTCTCTACGTTGTCCGTGACTGGGCGCTCCAGTTGCTCATCTTCCAGTTCTGCATGTAGTGCGCGCTGCCCTGCGCGCGGTGCCCAGCTCCTGTTGAACTCCTTTGGCCTGCTATATTTCTGGGATATGTCGAACTCTGCGACGTTCGAACACTTGCGCTCAGCGGCCGCCGCCACGCGCTCATAGTCATAATCCTTGTTCGAGCTGGCTAGCACCATGGCGCGGCGGTCGCTCGGTAACTTGAACTTCCCCAGAAAGAACCATCCGAATACAATCGAGGGCAGCACCACATCAAACTTCTTGAGCCTATGCACGAGCGTGTTGAATCTTTTTTTGAATACCCTGATTTGCTCGTGGGGCAGCCTCTTCAGCATCACAACGAACTCATGAAGCACGCCACGCTGTCTGAGGATATCCTGCTCCTCGAAGCGGTCCCCGAGCTCTGTCACGAGAAACTCTAAACCTGTTGGGGTGGACAGTTTCTGCAAATCTACGTCCTCAACTGCTGCCCGCGCGTCGCCCTGGAGCCTCGCGTAGTGCTGCACCCTGGCGTTCTGCCTTGAGCGTGGTCGCCATTGTCCAGGCTTCCACGCGGCGAGAGAAGTCCCGCCAGCCTGAGCCGTCGAAGATCGGGATCGGCAGGTTGTCCCGCGGCTCGTGATCACTCCCTCTCGGCGGACGGGGAGCCTCCTCGTACTCGTCCTGCTGGTCGTAGTCATCATCGTCGCGGGGCTGCTCGGCGGCAGCCGTCTCCCGTCGCCCGACGGGTCTCCACGTCCTGGCCGCCATGGCGGCCGCAATAAGCGAAGTAGAGTGAGCTTAGCACAGGCCGAAACCACTAGCTCCGGCTACCAATGTGAGTTATAGGATGCGGCGTTCCTTATTTGCTGCTGCAGCCGATGACCAAAGGCTGACAGGTGCACCTGCGTTGGGAAGCAAATGGCGATAGAAAAGAGGGGCGTGGGAAACAGCAGAGACATATAGGGCTCCCATCGCTCCCGAAACTCACAGAGCCAACACACCACCACCGCCATCGCCCATCGACGGTGTTGCGCTCCCCTCCCCCCCCTCCCCCCTCCTACCCATCCCACTCCACCGCCCCCCCCCCCCCCCTGCAGCAGCCCGACCCCTTCGTGGCTGGTGTCCACGTTCTCCCACTCCACGGTCAGGGCCTCCTCGAGCACCTGCCCGCCCGCTCGCGCGCGCCACGGGGGGCGCGGCCCTGGCCCGCCGGGCCTCGTCGCCCTGGAGGGGGCAGCAGCTCAGTCCGGCCAGGAGAACCTCGGCCAAGCTGAACTCGGCCAACTGAGCTCAGCCAAACTGGACTCGGCCGGGCGAAACTCGGCCAGGCCGAATCCGGCCAGGCTGAAGTCGGCCTGGGCCGAGTTCAGCCTGGCCGAAGCCGGCCTGGCCGAGTTTCGCCTGGCCGAGTCTTTCCCTCGTCCCGGGGGGGGGGGCTGCGAGACGGGCGATGCCGCACGCGCGCCCCCGCACCCACCGCGTCCCTGAGAAGCAACGATAGGGGGCGACTGCCAGAGGGGGGAAACATCGACATAGAATCGACGATACATCGCCGATACATCGGCGATAGGCCCCTGATAGCGAATCCGCACATCCCTCGGCGCGGTGGTTCTATCGGACCCCCATGAGCGATTGGGGGTCGGTGCATCCCCCACCTACGCCTACAGTCAGAACCGATAGCAAGGATGCGCGGTAAGGATGCAAGCCACTTGGGCGCCCGTGTTGAAGCTTTTTCGGGCGCGGCGGGCCATCCAAAGTAGTCGAGGATGGCCAAGGAGGCACGGATGCAAGGGTACCAGTCGGAAGGTGACCATCCTCAATTACCATCGGTTTCGACTACATTTAGGTCGAGCCTGTCCCCCTACAGGCGGATTTTGAACGAACAATTGAAAATACTCAAAACAATACTCCCAAAAATGTTCAGAAATAGTGAAAATAGTCCCCATAACATTTTTTACCATCTTTGAACATTCCCCCCATGTAGAGGGACAGCCCGCCTTAAGACCACAT